AAAAAAAAAAAAAAAAAAAAAAAAAAAAAAAAAAAAGAAAACATTCTTATCTAAAGAACTAACGTAAAGAAGATTATAGCTTAAGTGAAAATAGCCTTAGTCGAATTCCTAGACAGAGGAGTGATCTCTTATAGGGAGAAATCAGCACAAACACTACAACACACCACTACCTTGAATCGTCTTTAAAGGAGGTTTAACTATCAAACACACTGAAAACATTTATTTATACTACAACCCTTCAGCATTCCTTTTAACGTCTAGTACCTGCCTCTCTTATTGTAAGCATTCAATGCTTACTTTCTGTATTAGTCCCCCCAAAATAAACACACATTCTATTAAGTTCTTTGTCTTTGCTAATTTACAAGTGTTTAAAAAAATGAAAGCAGAGGAATCTTACAAGCTTATATTAAAACGGGCAATTTTAGATATGACTTTATCAACATCAATTCAAGCACTTCCTGAGTATCTGCTCTATGCCAGGAACTGAGGAAAGCCCCGCAGGTACAGTGATAAAACATGGTACCTAATCCTCTCAGGGAGCTCCAAGTCTCGAAAATAGATATCATAGTTGCTATTCCTCTATCCAAAGGAAAGATTTTTTTAAATGAGGTCATATTGATACCTAAAACAACCGAAAACAATGTCAAACCGTAACAACCAAGATGAATCAACATGTACTTTTTATAAACTGTCTCAACAAACAAAAGCTACGGACAAGTCTATACCAAAAAGAAAAAAAAAAAAAAGCTAATACATCTAATACCTACTATCTTTTACATAATGATTTTTCAAATTATTAGGTTACTCAACTATACAAATTTCTTAAATATATAATCTACTGGTTCACAGGCAAAGAATTCCCACTAGTCCAGGAAACATCTAGGATATTTCACTAACTCAAAGATCCTAGAGAAAGGCAAAGAGGAACGATTAGTCTGGTAAACTGGTTAGAATCCTTATGATACTAGTAAGGAACTAGAAAAGGGGAAATAGAACAGGGAAAAGTACCTAACAGAGGGGAAAGAAAAGTGTTGAAAGTGACCATGAATTTTCTGCAGAGGTCTATGAGTCTGTGACAAGTTACAGACACAATAGGATAATAGGTACAGAAATGTCAGGTTGGTGATGGTATTCAAGGGTTGGAGACAGTGGGTAAAAATCGAGGGACCTTACGGACTTCCTAAAGAACTCACATATTCAAGGAAAATTATTTTCAGTGTATGGAGGTAGATTGGGGCAGCAGGATGAAATGGGAAGTTAAATTCAGGCACAGAAAGGTTACATTAGTTTTTGTTTTTAAAAGACTCAATTAGGTCATATAAATCAACTGCAGCATCGTAGAAAAGAGAAATAAACAGTGATTCAAATAATTGGTTCCGTAAATACTAACTTTAAAATTCTCATTCCTAGGGCCGGCCTGTGGCTCACTCGGTAGAGTGCGGTGCTGATAACACCAAGGCCACGGGTTCGGATCCCATATAGGGATGGCCGGTTCGCTCACTGGCTGAGCGTGGTGCTGACAACACCAAGTCGAGGGTTAAGATCCCCTTACCGGTCATCTTTTTTTAAAAAAAAAAAATTCTCATTCCTTGTGATAGTGCATTTGATTCCATTCTTAGGATCTACATACGAATAAGACGAGTTACCTGAAATTGCTTATATTCTTCTGCATCCCACTACTGAATTAAGGTTACCATGCACGCCCTAAATGTATATTAAAGACTGAGAAGCCTTCCATCTCCCCGTTAATAAATGTATCATATTCAAGACTGGGAATGCTTCAATCTCGCCGTTTAATGCCACGACAGTGAATTCTGTATATCAGGAATATTTTTACGTATCTGCATGTAAATTATCCCACCCAGGTAAAAACTGGCCTTTTAGTGGGATGATTTCAACCGATAAGAAAAGCCTGAAGTCGCTCCTGATCACTGCTTATAAATCGGAGTACGACATACAATTGTCCTCTTATGCGTACAGCTCGGTCATCTTTAAACAAGCGCACGCGTCCCAACAACCTGCCTCCACTCACCCCTCATTTTACCAAGATTTTCGTCTCGCAAACCGAACCAGAACCAAACCGCTGTCCTCGGGAAGCAACGAGCTTCCACCGCCTTTAGAAGTGAGATGCGAGGGCCAGCCCGTGGCTCACTCGGTAGAGTGCGGTGCTGATAACACCAAGGCCACGGGTTCGGATCCTATATAGGGATGGCCGGTTTGCTCACTGGCTGAGCATGGTGCTGACAACACCAAGTCAAGGGTTGAGATCCCCTTACCGGTCATCTTTAAAAAAAAAAGAAGTGAGATGCGAGCATTTCCAAAGAGGAACCGTGCGCTGGGGGAGGGCGACGCCGGCCGCCCGTGAATCCATGGGTGGGGGAGACGACCCCGGACCCCCCGGCCGCTCGGCTCTAAGACAAAGCTCAGAACCGCCAACCTCGACAAACATACAAAGAAACACAAAAGCCGCTTCTCATGGTGGGGCGGGGGCGGAGAGACGTTAAAGGACGTTACAAACGGATGACACGGGCGGAGGAGAGGCCCCGGGAGCCAGGCCAGCTCGCTGGGGCCCACGGCGGGGTCTCCCAGGCCCGGCCCGGAGAGGGTCGCCGGGAGGCCGGCTCAGGGCGGCAGCCTCCTGCCCCATCCCGACCCTCGAGAGCTAGAAGTGGGGGGGCGTCCATCGACACACACACCCGGGACCCAGCAGGGGAGGAGTCGCCCTACCTCTCTCCGCACGGCGCTCGCGGCGGAGCGCGGACCGGGCGCAGGGGAGGGGACGTGGCGCTGCAGCGGCGGCGGCCCCCGAAGCGATCGCGCGCGGCGCGGCCTCCGCGACCCGGCGGGGGTTGACGCAGTGGCGGGCGGCGAGGCGG